ACCAATGACGAGTAATCTTGGAAAATCGTGGATCCCTAATAATACCGTTTATTTTATTAGCGTATAAACTGTGCAGTAAAGATAAAAAGGCACGTAGGGAACACCCTAACACCAAGACATATTGCATTTTCTAGATTTTGAAAGAGGGTGTGTGTGTGTGAGTGTTTATTATCACAGCTGAAACAGACGCAGAATATTGAGGCCTATGCAGGACAGAAGACACCAATGTTACGCAAAAGTGAATATTTTGCCGGTTGTGGACAATGTATCGTGCTCCAGGAGATTCTGATCCAGAGCCTACTTGTAAATCCTGCGGTTTGAAATTTCTTGCAGTTTACTTAGGGCCTCCCGCCGCTAATGCATCTCCTCCCGACTCTCGAATACATCCATTTGTGCAAGGGAAATTTAGGAACCTTGGAGGCACACTTTCTAAACGGTGTTCCCTAAAGCTTGCGGAATTCCACAGCATCTCTACGAAACCGCCATTTCCAGCATTTCACACCAGGTACACACACCAACGTGAACTCGAGACAATGGTGGATAATAGTGATGACTTCATGAAAAGAGAGTGCACCAGATAAAGGTGGCAGACAGTAATAGAAACCTGGCTGATGATTCGGCGTGTGCATTTCTCCAAATCAAAACACATTTCTCAAAATAGTGCCCATCCAGCATGCAAGACAGCCGCCTGACTCCAAAAAACAGATTGAACTGTGATATTGAATTGATAAGGAACGATCCTACTAGAAATAATTGCAGTCGATTTGGCCAGTTTAAACTCGTATTACTTGATGCGTGAATTGTTTCACTGTTGTGTCACTGTGGCATGTCGAGATAGCCAGTTACGTAGGCCTCGATATGAGTCGACTTCACAACTCGACGTGAGGCGAGACGCATAACACCTGGATTAGGAGTCAATGGCGCTCAATCGTTAATTGCTTTGATTTCACTGGTCGGTAGTTCAGAGACCTGCGAGTTGACGTTTCATTATTTGGTTGTGGACCTGCGCGTCGGTTGTGTGCTCGTAACACACTGCCGTCAAAAACGTTCTGTTGATTTCCCGAGATGAGGACTCATACTTCTCATTCCATA